CATCATCATCATCATCATCATCATCATCATCATCGATCTCAGTGAGGCTAGATCATCCTCTATATCACCAGTGCTTGCATTTTGGTAAACCTACACTGTGACCATTCCTGTAGTTCATGCAATCTTGAATTACCCGACCTTGACTGTCATTACCATTTTAACAACCAATCAACATTGAGATAAGCAAAATGGAAATGGGTAAGGGAAGTAACTTGTTTGGCCTAGAAATCAAAGCCTTTGCCAGTTTTAATGGACATGAAGATATCCTTCCATCAAAAACATTTTTAAGGGCTTTCTTTTGCATGTCAGTCAGTTTTTCAATGTGTAATTTCTTGCAAACTCTATCGCAATCAATGGGACTGGTCGCCATGTTGTTGATATCGCCAACCCAACATTTGTAACTAGCATTCTGATTGGTCATTAGAAATGTAATTTAGAATTTTTGACCCTTCGTTTTCATCCAGATTGAAAATACCCATTTTCGTTTCAGAATACTCAATGTGAATCATTCTGTGAACTAACTACTTCAGAAGTTCATCATTTTCCAAGTGTTTGTCACATCGCTTTGTGGTTATAAATTACATACATTACTAGCAGGTAGTGTTATTAAGAAGACAGGATTTCCAAGTCTCTATCGTGTCCTTAAGCCACAAGGAACTAAGTTTCACTGTGCCTTTATGGTTTTAGCTGTGTCATCCTGACCTTAATTTTACACTGATATCAATGGTATAAATTAGCTAGAATTCACTTGGTAAGACACATTAAAAGAATCTGTTTTCAATTGAAGACTTCAGATGAACAGGTATTTACCCCGAATTGTTCTGATACATCTTTGCCAATGTTTTATAGTTGTTAATCTACAATAAAGTAGGGGTGTAACCTAATCTGTTCTCAGTAACAACAATCGTTGTTATATGACAAATAGGATTCCTACAGTGACGCATACAGTCGTGGTTATATTGTCATTATTTCTCCCACTATTTCAGTAAGTCCCATTAGTGTAACAGGCTGTCACAATAAACTGGGCCATACCTCCATTTCTACGTTTGAAATTCTGTGGGGGGACTCTGAAATGATACAGTCAATCATCAATCAATATATATTGCCTTATTGTTACAGTACTGTCCTGCTGACTATCCCACACTCTGACGTGAAGACGTGGGATACGACGTGGGGACTACAGAAAACAGCAGCCCTGTGATCAAGAAACTGGGATATATTTCTTTATATACACACTGTTCCTGATTTGAGAAAAATAATACTTCCCCATTTTTTTCTCCTTGCAACATTTCCAAATGATTATTTATTAAATTCCTTATCATCAAGAATAAAGTTTCAGTTTCCTTTTGTAATGATTAAAGATCTATATGATTATAATCACTGATTTTATTTATCAACTCTGCTTAACAATCTCCAATACATGTTGTACACCTAACGTTATATACCATTCCGTTGTGGTCTGGGTTCGAATCCCAATCCCTAGGCTGGCCGTATTTTTTCTGTGTTTCCCATCTCTTGAATGTTCATTCCAATGTGAAATAATAAAAAGTTTTATCTCAATTTTCCCCACCACTGTGGAAATTTATGCACCAATGTTATAAAAAAATTACTCCTTCCTTTGCTTGATCTTTCTTCGACTATATTTATTAAAAATTTGTTTCCAACACAAAGTGACTAGATCTACTCCAAAAACTATTATCATAAAATTGTAAAATAAGTTACACAGTGAAAAGCATTTTAAAATTTTTAAATATTTTTTAAATATTTTTTTTGGGCCGCTCTCTTGCTGGTTGAGGATGGAGACGAGAAAAACATGAAGAAATATGTGTGAAGCAGATTCTTCGAATCCCAAGCTATGCTTAAACATCAAAACTAGGTGTGGGATGACTCACTGATACATAAATGTATTATGACACATAAAGTTTTGATGTAACGATTGCATCAATATGAAATAATGCAAGATCTAGGTATTAGTATGTTACCCAAATTATAGTGTAACAATGCACAGTTTGCCATAATGTGTTATTTCCACCCATAAACATGGAATAAATAGTTCGTTACACCAAATGTTCATCTTCATCCTCTGCTTGTGTTATTCTCCTGTACCATGTATACAGACACAGTATACTGACTCCGAGCCGACCAGTCCTTGTTTTAGCCCCCTCAGATACCATGCCGCAGTTTAATATGAATACCCCACTCAGACACAGTATACTGACTCCGAGCCGATCAGTCCTTGTTTTAGCCCCCTCAGATACCATGCCGCAGTTTAATATGAATACCCCACTCAGACACAGTATACTGACTCCGAGCCGACCAGTCCTGGCTTTAACCCCTTAAAGCCGAACGCCAGACAGGGTAACAACAAGTACCATCTTTTAACGTCTTTTGGTATATATATCTATGAAAACTAATCATGATGTCTTTGCCTAGCCAGTCCACATTGGTACAATGTGTAAAGCCCATTTTCCGGTTTCCTCCGCCGTGATACTGCTGGAATATTGCTAAAAGCCAAACTCGTTCACTCACTCACTCACTCATATATATCTATGAAAACTAATCATGTGTCTTTGCCTAGCCAGTATCATGATAATTGTATTGCTAAAAGCCATACTCACTCACTCACTCACTCACTCATATATATCTATGAAAACTAATCATCTGTCTTTGCCTAGCCTGTGTCACGATAATTGTATTCCCTTACAAAATCTACACTGTGTCAATATTGACATGCTGTCTAATGGAGGGAGGCATTGGTTGTAAACACGACAGAGAGAGCAGTGAAAGAGCTAATGCAGGTGACACTGACATTTGGTCCCAGAAATAAAGTTATCTTTTTATAAAATATATCTTCAAAATAAAAAAAATATGTAAATGGAGCCCAGAACAATCCTTAATTTCAGGGTTGAGTCAATCCAGACTGGCCAAGTCATTCAAGACTTGAGTGGGGCTCCGTTTTTAACTTACCGTATTCGACATAATAAGCACCCCGCTCTAATAAGCGTCCACAGCTATATTTGCTGATATATTGGCTAATGAACAATCCCAATTAGCACCCCTTCCGATTGATCAATGTGCACAAGACTTAATTATTCGTGTATAACACGCACTCATGTTATATGCACCCTTAAGTATGGGCAATTAAATTCAGGAAAAATATATCTGTCGAGTGTAATATGCACAGACTTTTCTTTTGTATCATTTCAGGCTGTCAGCATAAACCACAAAATTTACCTTCTTTCAACCCCGTTATTTTTCTTACCAAAATTATATTCTAATAAGAGCTCCTATTTCTAATTTTGAGAGCACCCTGGGCGCTTATTATGTCGAATACAGTATTGTCTAGGGTCTGGGAGACGCAAGTGGTATTAGATTACTTGATTTTAACATACTTCCTGTGATTTTGAAAGGAGTAAAAGTCAACTTGCACCGAGCCTGCACTCACAGTCTGTGCACATGCCCCTATGGTAGGGGGAGGGCTGTATCTATTGAGAGCGGGATGTCACGCCAATGGGTGTATTTGCAAGTGTATTGTACGTAGGCCTTTATTTCCCAACCGCGATGTATCCGTTACAGCTGATTCCTATTTATCAACAGAGTGTTCTGCTTGTACCCCTGCTTCAAGGTCAATTGGCAAGTCACATCCTTTCCTAATCTTTTACGTTTACCTGTTCAGTCGGAACACTAGACTGAATCTGTTTCCTGAGCTTAATGTATGAATGTTGACATGAAAACCAGGTTGCACCCTGGTCCCATAAATTTATCAAAGTTGAATGCATAAACTAGTTTAAATATGTAAAATTTCAGATCTCCGAACACAACACAGAGAACAGTAATACAGAGCAAAGTTTAGGTACTGAGTGTTTTCAAGGACTGGTTGTTGTGCAGACCAATAAAAAGATCAATCGGACACAAATTTGAATTTTGTTTAAGATGCACTCGGTGCATTGCCGAGGAAATATTTGGTAACATTTTTCAATAATAGGCTGCACTGGTGCATGTTTTACACCGCAATGTTGCCCTGCACCGAACCAGGTATGCCTTTCTTTTTTCAGTTGGTTTACAGATTTTTTCTCAAAACCTTTGGTTGGAGTTGGCACATGCTCTATATCTCAAGGCTCGAATTTCAGTAAACCTACAACGCGATCCCAAAATTACCCACCCTTGATTTTCATTAGCCAATTTGATTTGCTACGTCATCCAGTCTAACGGACCAATCAGAATGCGACTTACAAACCAGGCTCAATGTTGGGTTGGCTTACGATCGATTTTACAAGAAATTCAACATTGAAAAACTGACCAGAGTCAGCGGTTAGTGAGGTTTACCAAAATGTGAGCCCTGGAGATATAGAGGATGAGATTGACGCTTCAATTATTTTTTAATCATAAACATCATAATCAGACTCGGCGTCAATAAAGATAGCTTTTAACATCTTACTTTTTCCCACAATCCTGATTATGTTCGGCAGATGCGTAAATGGGTAATAAAAGAAAGAAATTAAGCCTAAATAAGGAGAGGTGAGGTGAAATTGGGTTTTAACGTCGCGTCCAAGATTATTGCACTTATATAGCGACGTGCAAGTATGTGTATGTGTTTGTGTGGCTGCTTGTACTCCTCGGACTGATACCGATTTATAGTGCTAGCTCACTGAGATACCATGCCGCAGTTTAACATCAATACCCCACTCAGACACAGTATACTGACTCCGAGCCGACCAGTCCTTGTTTTAGCCCCTTAATGCCGAGCGCCAGACAGGGTAACAACAAGTACAATCTTTAAACGTCTTTTGGTATGACGCGGCCGGGGATCGAACCCCCGGACCTTCTGCTCTCCAGGCGGTCGCTCTACCACTACACCACGGAGGCGGTCAAGCCTAAATAAGACAGTGTAGCATAAGGATACAAGAGAAGTGTTGTCAAAAGTAGATTACTACATGTATATCAATATGAGAGGATGCTGAATGGGGACGGAATGTTTAATGCCAAACTGTTGTACTTACCTAAAGTAAAGCATGCAATTATGGTACCCTGAAATGAAAAACAAGACAATAATGCTTGTGCTTGGCCATGGTAGACAGAATGCAGGAGAGTCTCAAATTATTTACGGTCCTCTCTGATGAATGTTTGTGTGTTCTTTGTATCTAACATGGCACTCAGCACTATTCCAGCTATATAACATATGACAACCTGTAAAAATGCATCTGGGCCAGACAAACCAGTGATTGATATTATGAGCAACTATCCATATTGTCAGTGTATGATAACATGCAAACTACAACCACTACAAGTCTGATCACCATTAGGCTTAACAAAATAAAGGAACTGGTTCTCAGGCAATGGTTTTTGAAAATATAGTTCGGGCTGGCAGTATCTTTTTTATTTTTTGCTTGTTCAAACTAGTATGTAAACAAATAAACAGTTGTGTAATAAATAAACAATTGTGTACAATCAACCCGGGAAAAGGCCTCACTACATAAATGTATTCCTTGATGAGTAAAATACTGGATTACAGTATTTGACTACCGTTGGACTTGGAATATCTAAGGATTTTTTTAATTTTTTTTAAATGGAAAAAACCCCGAAACAGGCGGCGAACTTTATGATGATGCAGGCAGTGCCTGAGAACCAAGACTTATATTTTTTAGCCTTATGTTGCCTTGAATGACAAGCATTGGTTACTGGGGACCTGTTCTGACCAGTAAACCCCCAAGGGACTCTTTTTTGAAGCAGTATTGATGCTGACTACTGTATAACATTCATTCACTCATGTCTCTAGAGGTCTTTAGCTCACCACGACAGCGAAGAGAAGGACAGATCCGATGTTGTCAGCAAACGTCCTGTCATGGAGGCTGAAGGATGCTTCCAAGATGATTCTGAAACAAGGAAAGAATACTGACATGAATCTCCTGTCATTTGGTACTTTAGTTTGTTGGACAGCAGGTTTATTACAAGTTTGATTTCATAGACAATATTTGTCTGGCAGGATAATAAATATTCTTATCACATCATTTCACCGTATTTAGTATTTTAGTACCACAACTTAAGCCTGACTGACTGCATGTTGCAATGCCCCACACTGTCAGGGTGTCTTCCCAGGTAGCCATGGTAACACTGTCTGGGTACCATTATATATAAAACAGACAGACCACTGCTGGGAGTGGGTCTTCCCAGGTAGCCATGGTAACACAATCAGCAAGCATCGTGGCCACCTGATCCCCTGCATGGCTGCCTCCTATGACAAGCATGGGGAGCTAGCTCTTCAACCTAAGTGCTACCTGGGAATCACCCTGGGAGGGATGACGAGGCCAGGTGAGCTAAGTTCATACTCACGGGGGAAGGAGGTACTGGAAGAATGTGTGTGGAGAGAAGAATGCTGGGATATACTTTACTGCACCAGATAACCTGAAATAAGATACACACAGGTACACACAGGTACACACAGGTACACACAGGTCATCTTCCTGAGGCAAGGGACTTATCTGACTATTCAAGTCCAGTTTCCACCCTTGCCAAACTAGGATGGAATTCCAGAGTTACATTTTGGCTGGACTAACGAGTTCATGCATGGTCCAATTAAAATAGCGTGTCGAACTAGATATCCGGTTCGCAAACAACATGGATTTCAATGTGCAGATTTCGGTCGACTGCATGATTTACAAAGCATGTGTACCGCCATCTGAGTGTCGACAGCAAATCTTTTCATGTTTTTAAGCAAGGTGCTCAAGTGATCTGATACACTTCGCGAGATAAGACTCTTTTTATTACACTAAAGATCTTGATTATCGATCAGATCGTCTTGACGGGGAGCCGCCATTTTGTTGGAAGGAAATGCAAGTGATACGAGAGGTGGAACCCGATTGGTCAGTTGGAGGGACATAGAAGGGACATAACTTGAATAGCCACTAGTGGCACTACTATCGGGCCTGGAAATTCCAGCCTATTTCGGCAAGGGTGGAAACTGGGCTCATATAGTCAGTTAACTCCCTTGCCTCAGGAAGATGCACACACATACACACAGGTACTCACACTGTGTTTCAAAGTAGAGCTACTGTTACCTGTCAATTTGATAATGCAACATTGAATCTTTAGCTGCAGGTACAGCTTGAGGTCTCAAATGCTTCATTTAGCAGGCTCAAATGCGGTTTTCATATCAGGGCTGTCATTGTGATTTCAAACCTTTGATGGCCCCTACAGATTTTAGCATTGCCCAAAGTCCTGGTAGAATCAGAGAGCAACTTGCTGAGTTCAGTATACAGAGGTATAATACAGTGGATTTGTTCCTCACACCACAAATCGAAAGACAATGTATTTGTGTTTACTATGTAAAACGGTAAAGGATAATCAGGAGACCAATCTCATCAAAATCAGACCTTAATTCTCGCTACCGCTAAACAAAGATCTGAAGACATCCCATTAGGGGTCACGTCAGAACGACCTATCTTCAGACCAATCAGAGCGTCGCTTACCAGATTATAAAAGTGACAGTCGGAATGTGATTTCTAATCATGCAACCTCGAAAACTTTAACATGGGGTATTCTGAACGATAGTTACGGGTTTAACGACTAATTCCTTACAATCTAGACCATTTATTAGCCATTCCAGTATGTTCTTTTGTTCAGGTGTTAAATTTGTAATCGAGAATATCAAAATATGTTTCGAAGTGTAGTCGCCAATTTGAAATAAGTGCCGTAAAGCACGAGAAAACTGCCTTCTGATTGGTCATTCCATTGGTCGGTCAAAGTTCGCGCAAGGTCGGTCTGACGTGACCCGTAATGGGATGTCCTCAGATCTTTGTTTAGCGGAAGCGAGAACTAAGATCTGATTTTAATGAGATTGATCAGGAGACAAACATGCAATGATATTGGGATAATCTAGCATGCTCTACCTGACTTAACCCTCAACCCAAAGTATGTATACCTTCATAAAATGATCAAAAGCAAGATGGCTTTTAAACATGTGTAAATTTTATGGCCGCTACAAAATTATTGAAAATGGCTAACCGTAGTCTTAACTGCGTCTGGAAAATTTTGTGAGAGCCTGTTAAATTTCCAAATGTCAAAGCTCTTTTTGCATGTCTTATTTTAATAAGTAGGAAGCTGTCTGATGAAATATTTACTTTGTTATTTTTAAACTTAATTGATGCATGTGTTGGAGAAACGTGTTTATCTGACACTACAAACTGGCTGGCGTATGTCTGGACGACTCGTTGTTATGTAAGCAGCTTGACGAGATGTGAACTTTCCCTGGTAATACTGTTGACACTGAGTGACTGTGTGTAATTACAGAAACACAGCATGTGAGGATTATTTATTTAATCATGCACTGGCTGGTTTGACAGAGTGTGGATTTGCATGAAAATCAGGCCTCCTTACATTGTTTGTTTGTTGTTGGTCTGCAAAAATTGCTGTGTCATGAAACTATTGTGAGAGTGTCTCACTCACAGTTTTCACAATACTTTCCTGCTTGCAAAACTTTGCAGATTTAAAGTACACATGAACACGATCATGTTAATATTTTGACACTTTTTCGAAGATCATATGTATATTTTCAAAAAATATAAATTGAAGGGAATGGATATTGATCTGTTAAATAATAATTCTGAAATGATATTTCGTCCAGTTGATATATAGACATTGCTTAAAGGCAACAGACTCTTCAAATATTCACTGGCAGACATTAAACAGGTGCCCCTGTAAAATATACTACTAAAAGAAGTTATTACCGTATTCGACATAATAAGCGCCCAGGGGACTCTCCAAATTAGAAACAGGGGGCTCTTATTAGAATATATTTTGGTGAAAAAAACCAGTTGAAAGAGTTGAAAGATCGTAAATTTCATGGTTTATTCTGACAGCCTGAAATGTTTATATACGACAGATATATAGATTTTTTTCCAGAATTTAATTGCCAGGGTACATATAACACACGAGTGCGTATTATACACGAATAAATAAGTCTTGTGTACATTGATCAATCGGAAGGGGTGCTAATTGGGATTGTTCACTAGTCAATATATTAGCAAATATCGCAGTGGGCGCTTATTAAAGCGGGCACTTATTACGTCGAATACGGTAACTTCTTTTGAGTAGTATTTGTTCACAGAATTATGGTTTGGGAAATTTGCTGACCTCTTTTTCTACCATTGAGATTTGGTCTGAAAATGTTCGCCTGCATTCCCATAATTTTAGGAAATGCGTTAAAATAAAATGAATTCTTTCAACATATTCAACTTACGTGAGGATGGCGCCCATAACAGTTCCAATCAGGATGAGCAGGCTGGAACAAAACGGCATGACATAAATAAATAAAAAAACAATTCAAAGAAAAGTCCCCTCTGGACTGATATAACTGGTAACCATTAGGGCTGTGTTATGTAAAATGTACTGAAATATATTACAATACAGGTATCTCGATTGCAATATACATGTGTTGCGATATATTGGATGTTAAAGTGCTTTGCAGTGATTGACACTGATTGTACATGTAGATTCTATTTTGTAATTACTTCAGTAAATATTAATCAGCATGGTCAGTCGCCACCATTTTGTAGTCATGGATACAGGGGAGATAACGATGAGAGAAAAAAAATCACTCCCGCACTTTCAGTTTTGTCAATCCATTTCGAAGAGGAACATCATTTGTGAATGAATTTCTGTATCGATTTTAGGTTAATGATACAAATTACAATGAAAATTGTGATATATTTTTACCCAATATACCGAAGAACGGAAAAATACTACTGCTATTTGTATTGTCTGAAAAGCGAATTGCAGTATACTGGTATAGCCGTAATACCACACAGTCCGAGTAACTATGACAACAGATTTTAACTATTCATCACCACACCAATTCACTGTAAACCGAAAATGATTTGAAAGTGAGGAAAATATCACCTATTGTCTCATGGCAATAACACATCGCAATTGGGACCGATGACATGCATCAACCAAGTCAGCGAGCCTGACCACCCGACCCCGTTAGTCGCCTTTTACGACAAGCATAGTCGCCACTTACGGCAAGCATTGGTTGCTGAAGACCTATTCTACCCCGGAATCTTCACGGGTCTTGAGGCCTGGAGGGATAGGTTTGTTATGCATGATCTGAAGCATTAATGATTATTCAGTCATGTACCAAGTACAAGTGATTCTACAGCATTTGACTGGCTAAGCATTCATGGTTCCTTAGACCAAAAAACCTTTAGGCCACACCCTACAGACAACAGATTCTTTCCTTAATTAGCTGACAATAGAATGGACACTGTTTGTGTTACTGTGAATGATGTTATTTATTTGGTTGTCTTCTGAGTTTTTAATCAATGATTAAATAAGCAGCCTGTGAAGTTATCGACATATTTATTTATAAGAACTTGACTTCAAAATGCTTATGAGTTTATGTAGAAATATATACTGTTTTTCTGTGATGTTTATACCTCCATAAATGCAAAATATTTTAAACTCAGTTCTTAAATATCTCAAATTCACCAGAGTGAATGAGTGAGTTGGCCTGTATACTGCCCAGAGCTCCAGATAACTGTTTGAGCAATTGAGTTTTTAACTCTAGGGTTTCTATTTTAATTGGGTAATAACATTTTTCATTGGGTAACCATTATTTTTTCACTCATCTTTTCATCACTCTATCAGGTATTTCCCCAAATGAGTGAACATTTTATTATTTCCAAAAAAAATGATATAATGTTTTCGATGTACATAACCATGGTAACTGTTCTAAATATATAGACTTGTCTCGGAAAGAAAATTAGCATCGTAATTGTGTATTCATTCAGCTACTTCATTGGGTAGCTAGCATGTTGTTTTTATACATTTGAGTTTTTCATTTAATGCATGCGTTTCTGTACGCAAGTTAATTGAAAGTTGTTGGGTTTCGAATATTTTTTGGGGTATTTTATGCAAATACACTGCTTATTGGTAGCTTTGGCTGCTTCCATCTTGAGTCAAGCCATATTTAAGTGCGGAATACCAACAATGGATTCCATACAATGCAATACCCAAACAGGGAACGGAACCCAGGTCTGTCCCTAAGATGCATAAAGTTCTGTGGGACTGGCCATTTGATATTTGGGATTGAGACATGGTGGGCTTCCTGAAAACATGCATCGTGAAAAAACCCAATCTAATTCTATATTTAACATATCTTACCAAGACTCAGGCAGCTTTGATGATAAGAAGTCAGCATAATGGAACCCTGAAATAATCACACCTGTTAGAACAAGTACAGCTTGAGTGTTCTACACATGCTCAAAATTAAGGCTTGCTGTGAGTGAGTGAGTGAGTGAGTGAGTGAGTGAGTGAGTGAGTGAGTGAGTGAGTGAGTGAGTGAGTGAGTGAGTGAGTGAGTGAGTGAGTGAGTGAGTGAGTGAGTGAGTGAGTGAGTGAGTGAGTGAGTGAGTGAGTGAGTGAGTGAGTGAGTGAGTGAGTGAGTGAGTGAGTGAGTGAGTGAGTGAGTGAGTGAGTGAGTGAGTGAGTGAGTGAGTGAGTGAGTGAGTGAGTGAGTGAGTGAGTGAGTGAGTGAGTGAGTGAGTGAGTGAGTGAGTGAGTGAGTGAGTGAGTGAGTGAGTGAGTGAGTGAGTGAGTGAGTGAGTGAGTGAGTGAGTGAGTGAGTGAGTGAGTGAGTGAGTGAGTGAGTGAGTGAGTGAGTGAGTGAGTGAGTGAGTGAGTGAGTGAGTGAGTGAGTGAGTGAGTGAGTGAGTGAGTGAGTGTTTGTTTTAACACCGCTTTCAGGAATACATCAGAAATGGGCTTCACACATTGTACCCATGTGGAGAATAAAATCCTGGTATTCGGCGTGACGAGCAAACACTTTAACCACTAGGCTACCCCACCAGCCCTAATAACTAATAAGGTAGCGAAAGGTTAAACAGATGGACAAAACAAAACCTAAAATAGTAAGTTTGAAGAAAAAATGCAAAAGGCAGAAATGGCTGATTATATTTCAAACTTTAGATCATAATGAGTATACTTATCATGCTCTCTATGTTAAAAGTGCTACACCCTTTTTACCCCAGACAATGGATCTGTTTGTTCTTGAATGTCATTCTCAGCTCTTTGGGGTATACAATTCAAGATGCCTTTGCGGCGCGACACGGTCACATTTCTATTTCATTCACTGTAGGGTGCTGGGAAGCATATTTCGAAAAGTCTCTTGTCTAAGGAAACCCCCTCAGGATGACAAGGAGGAGGGGATAAAGCAGAAATAGGAGGAGGAGAAGGTGGAGGAGGAAGAGGTGGAGGAAGAGGAGAAGGTGGAGGAGGAAGAGGTGGAGGAAGAGAAGCAGGTGGAGGAGGAAGAGGTGGAGGAAGAGGAGGACGTGGAGGAGGAAGAGGTGGAGGAAGAGGAGGTGGAGGAGGAAGAGAAGGAGGTGGAGGAGGAAGAGGTGGAGGAAGAGAAGGAGGTGGAGAAGGAGGTGGAGGAAGAGAAGGAGGTGGAGGAGGAAGGATGTTGTGTAAGAGGAGAAGGATAAAAAGGAGGTGGTGTAAGAGGAGAAGGATGACAAGGAGGTGGTGTTAGAGGAGAAGGATGACGAGGAGGTGGTGTAGGAGTGACCAGGAGGTGGTGTAAGAGGAGAAGGATGACAAGGATGTTGTGTAAGAGGAGAACGATAACAAGGAGGTGGTGTAAGAGGAGAAGGATGACGAGGAGGTGGTGTAAGAGGAGAAGGATGACGAGGAGGTGGTGTAAGAGGAGAAGGATGACGAGGAGGTGGTGTAAGAGGAGAAGGATGACGAGGAGGTGGTGTAAGAGGAGAAGGATGACAAGGAGGTGGTGTAAGAGGAGAAGGATGACGAGGAGGTGGTGTTAGAGGAGAAGGATGACAAGGAGGTGGTGTAAGAGGAGAAGGATGACAAGGAGGTGGTGTAAGAGGAGAAGGATGACAAGGAGGTGGTGTAAGAGGAGAAGGATGACAAGGAGGTGGTGTAAGAGGAGAAGGATGACGAGGAGGTGGTGTTAGAGGAGAAGGATGACAAGGAGGTGGTGTAAGAGGAGAAGGATGACAAGGAGGTGGTGTAAGAGGAGAAGGATGACAAGGAGGTGGTGTTAGAGGAGAAGGATGACAAGGAGGTGGTGTAAGAGGAGAAGGATGACAAGGAGGTGGTGTAAGAGGAGAAGGATGACAAGGAGGTGGTGTAAGAGGAGAAGGATGACGAGGAGGTGGTGTTAGAGGAGAAGGATGACAAGGAGGTGGTGTAAGAGGAGAAGGATGACGAGGAGGTGGTGTTAGAGGAGAAGGATGACAAGGAGGTGGTGTTAGAGGAGAAGGATGACAAGGAGGTGGTGTAAGAGGAGAAGGATGACGAGGAGGTGGTGTTAGAGGAGAAGGATGACAAGGAGGTGGTGTAAGAGGAGAAGGATAACAAGGAGGTGGTGTAAGAGGAGAAGGATGACAAGGAGGTGGTGTAAGAGGAGAAGGATGACAAGGAGGTGGTGTAAGAGGAGAAGGATGACAAGGAGGTGGTGTAAGAGGAGAAGGATGACAAGGAGGTGGTGTAAGAGGAGAAGGAAGATGAGGAGGTGGTGTTAGAGGAGAAGGAAGATGAGGAGGTGGTGTAAGAGGAGAAGGATGACGAGGAGGTGGTGTAAGAGGAGAAGGATGACAAGGAGGTGGTGTAAGAGGAGAAGGATGACAAGGAGGTGGTGTTAGAGGAGAAGGATGACAAGGTGGTGGTGTAAGAGGAGAAGGATGACGAGGAGGTGGTGTAAGAGGAGAAGGATGACGAGGAGGTGGTGTAAGAGGAGAAGGATGACAAGGAGGTTGTGTAAGAGGAGAAGGATGACAAGGAGGTGGTGTAAGAGGAGAAGGATGACAAGGAGGTGGTGTAAGAGGAGAAGGATGACAAGGAGGTGGTGTAAGAGGAGAAGGATGACAAGGAGGTGGTGTAAGAGGAGAAGGAAGATGAGGAGGTGGTGTTAGAGGAGAAGGAAGATGAGGAGGTGGTGTAAGAGGAGAAGGATGACAAGGAGGTGGTGTAAGAGGAGAAGGATGACAAGGAGGTGGTGTAAGAGGAGAAGGATGATGAGGAGGTGGTGTAAGAGGAGAAGGATGACAAGGAGGTGGTGTAAGAGGAGAAGGATGACAAGGAGGTGGTGTAAGAGGAGAAGGAAGATGGGGCGGTGGTGTTAGAGGAGAAGGAAGATGAGGAGGTGGTGTAAGAGGAGAAGGATGACAAGGAGGTGGTGTAAGAGGAGAAGGATGACAAGGAGGTGGTGTAAGAGGAGAAGGATGACAAGGAGGTGGTGTTAGAGGAGAAGGATGACAAGGAGGTGGTGTAAGAGGAGAAGGATGACAAGGAGGTGGTGTAAGAGGAGAAGGATGACAAGGAGGTGGTGTAAGAGGAGAAGGATGACAAGGAGGTGGTGTTAGAGGAGAAGGATGACAAGGTGGTGGTGTAAGAGGAGAAGGATGACGAGGAGGTGGTGTAAGAGGAGAAGGATGACGAGGAGGTGGTGTAAGAGGAGAAGGATGACAAGGAGGTTGTGTAAGAGGAGAAGGATGACAAGGAGGTGGTGTAAGAGGAGAAGGATGACAAGGAGGTGGTGTAAGAGGAGAAGGATGACAAGGAGGTGGTGTAAGAGGAGAAGGATGACAAGGAGGTGGTGTAAGAGGAGAAGGATGACAAGGAGGTGGTGTAAGAGGAGAAGGATGACAAGGAGGTGGTGTAAGAGGAGAAGGATGACGAGGAGGTGGTGTAAGAGGAGAAGGATGACAAGGAGGTGGTGTAAGAGGAGAAGGATGACAAGGAGGTGGTGTAAGAGGAGAAGGATGACAAGGAGGTGGTGTAAGAGGAGAAGGATGACAAGGAGGTGGTGTAAGAGGAGAAGGATGACAAGGAGGTGGTGTTAGAGGAGAAGGATGACAAGGAGGTGGTGTAAGAGGAGAAGGATGACAAGGAGGTGGTGTAAGAGGAGAAGGATGACAAGGAGGTGGTGTTAGAGGAGAAGGATGACAAGGAGGTGGTGTAAGAGGAGAAGGATGACGAGGAGGTGGTGTAAGAGGAGAAGGATGACAAGGAGGTGGTGTAAGAGGAGAAGGATGACAAGGAGGTGGTGTAAGAGGAGAAGGATGACAAGGAGGTGGTGTTAGAGGAGAAGGATGACAAGGAGGTGGTGTAAGAGGAGAAGGATGACAAGGAGGTGGTGTAAGAGGAGAAGGATGACGAGGAGGTGGTGTAAGAGGAGAAGGATGACAAGGAGGTGGTGTAAGAGGAGAAGGATGACAAGGAGGTGGTGTAAGAGGAGAAGGATGACGAGGAGGTGGTGTTAGAGGAGAAGGATGACGAGGAGGTGGTGTAGGAGTGACGAGGAGGTGGTGTAAGAGGAGAAGGATGACGAGGAGGTGGTGTAAGAGGAGAAGGATGACGAGGAGGTGGTGTAGGAGTGACGAGGTGTTGTAAGAGAAGGATGACTAGGAGGTGGTGTAAGAGGAGAAGGATGACGAGGAGGTGGTGTAGGAGGAGAAGGATGACGAGGAGGTGGTGTAAGAGGAGAAGGATGACGAGGAGGTGGTGTAGGAGGAGAAGGATGACGAGGAGGTGGTGTAAGAGGAGAAGGATGACGAGGAGGTGGTGTAGGAGGAGAAGGATGACAAGGATGTTGTGTAAGAGGAGAAGGATGACAAGGAGGTGGTGTAAGAGGAGAAGGATGACGAGGAGGTGGTGTTAGAGGAGAAGGATGACGAGGAGGTGGTGTAGGAGTGACGAGGAGGTGGTGTAAGAGGAGAAGGATGACGAGGAGGTGGTGTAAGAGGAGAAGGATGACGAGGAGGTGGTGTAGGAGTGACGAGGTGTTGTAAGAGAAGGATGACTAGGAGGTGGTGTAAGAGGAGAAGGATGACGAGGAGGTGGTGTAAGAGGAGAAGGATGACGAAGAGTTGGTGTAGGAGTGAAGAGGAGGTGGTGGAGGTGCAGAAAGAGGAGAAGGATGACGAGGAGGTGGTGTAGGAGTGATGAGGAGGTTGTGGAGGTGGAGAAAGAGGAGAAAGAAAAGGATAACCAGGAGGTGGTGGTTCAGGAGAAAGAAGAAAAGGATGACGGGGAGGAGGATGACAAGGAGGAGGAGAAGGATGAACGTTTGGTTGTAAAATTTCAGCTGTAATGCTAAGGAGAACTTACCCACTTTGCTGAGTCCCGCCAACAGAATGACGATGGTGAAGAGTAGCGGTGCTCGGACACTATGAAAGTGCAGACTTGCCACTTCAATACCATGATGCTTTTCATGGCCGTCAGTATGTTCATTATCACTTGTGTTGTTGTCGTGGGAAACATTGTGATTGGCTGGCTCGACATCACATGTCACATTTAAGACAACCAGAGCCAAAATGGCAATTTTCAGTGCACTACCAAAGGACATGATTGGCACTTCCTCTGATCTTCATTAGACAATCACAAAGGTGATCTTGTATTTTCAAAATGCATCAGTCACAGGCACAAAGTCTTGCTGAGATATCTTCCTCCTGAAATCAAAAATGATTTTTTAACCAATCATTATCTTAATCGTAACATTTCCACTGTCTGATGTTGAAGTACCCTATATCAAGATACTTGCCACTGGACATTTATATCATGCACACCTTGTGCCATACAGGTATATCAATAACTTCTGGTGCCATACAGGTATATCAATCACTTCTGGTGCCATACAGGTATATTAAACACTTCTGGTGCCATACAGGTATATCAAACACTTCTGGTGCCATACAGGTATATCAAGCACTTCTGGTGCCATACAGGTATATCAATCACTTCTGGTGCCATACATGTATATCAAACACTTCTGGTGCCATACAGGTATATCAAGCCCTTCTGGTGCCATACATGTATATCAAACACTTCTGGTGCCATACAGGTATATCAAGCCCTTCTGGTGCCATACAGGTATATCAAACACTTCTGGTACCAGACAGGTAAATCAAGCACTTCTGGCACCAGACAGGTAAATCAAGCACTTCTGGCACCAGACAGGTAAATCAAGCACTTCTGGCACCAGACAGGTAAATCAAGCACTTCTGATGCCAGACAGGTATATCAAGCACTTCTGGCACAATAAAGGTATATCAAACACTTCTGGCACCAGACAGGTAGATCAAGCACTTCTGCTACCACACAGGGATATCAAGCACTTCTGGCACAATTAAGGTATATAAAGCACTTCTGGCACCAGACAGGTAGATCAAGCACTTCTGGTACCAGAGAGGTATATCAAGCACTTCTGGCACAATACAGGTATATCAAACACTTCTGGTACCAGACAGGTATATCAAAGACTTCTGGCACCAGACAGGTACATCAAGCACTTCTGGTACCAGACAGGTATATCAAGCACTTCTGGCACCGGACAGGTATATCAAGCACTTCTGGTACCAGACAGGTATATCAAACACTTCTGGTACCAGACAGGTATATCAAGCACTTCTGGTACCAGACAGGTATATCAAGCACTTCTGGCGCCAGACAGGTATATCAAGCACTTCTGGTACCAGACAGGTATATCAAGCACTTCTGGTACCAGACAGGTAGATCATGCACTTCTGGTACCAGACAGGTAGATCATGCATGGTTAGCAGTATCGAGAGGTATATCAATCACACCTGCCAACAGACATATATACCTTATACACAGCGATCTATGGTTTCATGCACACAGGCCATTGGGCAGGCAATCAAGGAGACGTGACTCTTGACACTAAAGCCCACTTTCCAACTGTAAATCACTACCTGAATGACCTGGTCGTTGGGCAAAGTTCTCTCAACTATTGACTCACGGAAGAATTGATAAGTAATGACACAATGACAACACTATGAGCAGATTTGACTGTGAAACGGAACACGAACTTGAAGAGAGTATACGTTGTAGCAGAAAGTGAGATTCACATGATCAAAGAACTGTGATGCAATGTTTTGATTGTACAAGACAATATCCCATTGCATGATATTCATACACATGTAACAGGTTATATTTGGGATAACACTTTCTTAGTGAAGTACAGATTCTTGCACTTTTGGTTTGAGTCTTGTCCTGGATTGGAACCAATACTGCCAGTGTGAGGCACCTAATCACCAGCACACAAAGTCAGTGATTTAACCCGCTCATCCACCGAGGCTTCCACAAAATGAAAGTCTGACAACTGGTAGTCTAGATCACGTACTTTGTGTACCCCTCTGACAAGTGTAAATTCTTACACATGTTCAAGTTGAGTGATTTTAAACAAAGCAAGGCCAGATTACATTGCTCTAAACATCATACCCTTCACTTCAAGACTGAAAGCACTGTTTATCAAACTGCACGATCTAACAGATGACATGCTGGTTCTTGCTTAAGACATATGTGTCCACATCCTCCTCGATAGGGGATAGCCTAGTGGTTAAAGCAATTTCGCTCATTATGCCAAAGAACCAAGGTTCGATTCCTGACATGGGTACAATGTATGAAGCCCAATTCTGGTGTCCCCCACCGGGATATTGCTGGAATATTGCTTAAAAAGCGGTGCAAAACTAAACTCACTCACTCACTCACTCACTCATTGAGACCTGTTGATTCGACTTTCAGAGTCACATGACACGTGTGGAAACACTTCAATAGTGAACATGTGGACCATCTCTCATGCACATATATCCTAAATATGGGCAGCGGTGTCCGACTTGTCGAAGGCACCACAATTTGCTGTGTACAGTTTACTCTTACATGTGCCATGATCTTCTTATCGTGGGCTCTGTTCTCCGATTTGCTCCAATTTTGTCCTTGGTTGGTCAGCACTATGTGCTTGTAAGTGTAAGTGTCTGCAAAGTTGTAACAGCCAAGCCTTGCCTCATTTTGGGCTTTCTGCTCACATTAGTGAGTGAGTGAGTATGGTTTTACGCCGCTTTTAGCAATATTCCAGCAATATCACGGCGGGGGACACCAGAAATGGGCTTCACACATTGTACCCATGTCGGGAATCGAATCCGGGTCATCGGCATGACGAGCGAATGCTTTAACCACTAGACTACCCGACCGCCCCCTGCTCACATTAGCTGACATGCTGTGATATACATGAAATACTGTTATACAGAATATCTGTGAGGATATGTTTTACCTTTATCTATCTGGGATCCGTTCAACAAATCGGTCGTACACTATGACCGTCATAATAGTATGTGTTACGATGGGTGTTATCAATAACTGTACTTAATTTTGTTTTATTATTTTCACAAATAACACTTGTAGAGACATTTTTGTGCAACATGCAGAAATCCATGGTCCACTGACAGGCCGTCATGCATACGGGACCCCTCTCAGGTGGTCACTTGTACGCGAGACGGGAGAGCTGTCTCGCGTACAGGTTACGTCCTCTACTGGTTATGATCGTCGTAGCTATGATCGCTTCATGGAGCCAGGCCCTCTACATCTCTACTTTACTGGCACTTGGCCCTATCACTAAATGCAGAGCTCCAGATAAGCTGCGTATCTGTGTATCTGCGTAAAATACGCATCAGAAATGCAGAAATACGCAGCAAAATCAAATCAAAGGGTATCAAATACGCAAAGAACATTACAGATACGCTACAAAATAAAACTTGTGCGTATCATCAAAATATTGTGAAGTAACCCTGCGTATTCGATTAGCAAATCAGCAACTTATTCTGAAATTATAAACGGTCATTCCGTCAACCTTGCCAACGTCCACGATGACAGTTACATCATGATCATTTGCCATCACACTTTCTTGTGGAAGTATCGTGGTATTTTGAGTCCTATAAAGCTCTCAAACCCACACGAAACTAGTTTGCAGGGCCTAGATGAATAGTGTTTTTAAATATTTAACTTAAATACCCACATGTGTAAAAACTAGTGTGTAACAGAAATTTGAATACCCAGATAGAATTACTGATACCCAATGATTTTAAAATGCATGGGTAAAATACCCACAACACCAAAAGCTTATCTGGAGCTCTGCTAAATGTAAATGGTGGCACTTTACATTCATGTGTGTGGGTTCCTGAAAGATACATCTGTCTGTGTGGTATTCAGTTTTTCTTATCTAGTCACATTTTACAGCAACTTCATTCCAGCAAGTCTCCATAACTTGAGGAAATCAAATAACTGTTACCATGGTTACTGTTAAATAAGATAAAGTTTATAATTACAGATTGTAGACTAAACACATCCTTATCACCAACACACACTCAGTATAAGAAGTGTTGCTGTAAACAGCCTGTCATACTTAACGGATGCATTTCCTTCTGCAGACACACATGGGTGTGTCTGAGTGCATGTGTGGATGTTTTGGATGTGGGTTGTTTGGGGGGTGTGGGTGGTCGAGTGCTTTGGGTGGATGAGTGAGTGAGTGAGTGAGTGAGTGAGTGAGTGAGAGAGAGTGGGGTGGGGTGGATGTTTTGGGTGAGTGAGTGAGGGGGTGGGTGGGTGGATGTGTGAGTGTTTGGGTGAGTAAGTGGGGCTGGGTGGATGTTTTGGGTGAGCAAGTGAGAGAGAGTGTTTTGAGTGGATGAGTGAGTGAGTGTGTGAGTCCATTTAATATTTGTATGTGTATATAACACAGTATTTTGCATGCAGTAACACCATGAGATATCAATAACACATATCAGTCAACAACAATCAGTCAACAACAACCAGTCAACAGCAACCAGTCAACAAATGTCAGTCAACAACAATCAGTCAACACATGTCAGTCAACAACAATCAGTTAACACATGTCAGTCAACAACAATCAGTCAACACATGTCAGTCAACACATATCAGTCAACAACAATCAGTCAACACATGTCAGTCAACACATGTCTGTCAACAACAACCAGTCAACACATATCAGTCAACAACAATCAGTCAACAACAACCAGTCAACACATATCAGTCAACAATCAGTCAACAACAATCAGTCAACACATGTCAGTCAACAACAATCAGTCAACACATGTCAGTCAACAACAATCAGTCAACACATATCAGTCAACACATGTCAGTCAACAACAATCAGTCAACAACAATCAATCAACAACAATCAGTCAACACATGTCAGTCAACAACAATCAGTCAACACATGTCAGTCAACAACAATCAGTCAACACATGTCAGTCAACAACAATCAGTCAACACATGTCAGTCAACAACAATCAGTCAACACATATCAGTCAACACATGTCAGTCAACAACAATCAGTCAACACATATCAGTCAACACATGTCAGTCAACAACAATCAGTCAACAACAACCAGTCAACACATGTCAGTCAACAACAATCAGTCAACACAAGTCAGTCAACACATGTCAGTCAACACATGTCAGCTAACAACAATCAATCAACAACAACCAGTTAACACATATCAGTCAACAACAATCAGTCAACAACAACCAGTCAACACATATCAGTCAACAATCTGTCAACAACAATCAGTCAACACATGTCAGTCAACAACAATCAGTCAACACATGTCAGTCAACAACAATCAGTCAACACATA